TCCGGTGGCTGGGAGCGGCCACTGCACTCCAGTCTGGGCGACAGAGTGAGACTCCAACTCAAAAAAAAAAAAAAAAGAAAGAAAATGCAGTATGTACACACCATAGAATACTACATAGCCATAAAAAAGAACAAAATCATGTCCTTTGCAGCAACATCGATGCAGCCGGAGACCATCATCCTAGGCTAATTATCATAGAAACAAAACTGAATACTACGCATTCTCCCGAATGAGTGGGAGCTAAACACTGAATACACACAGGGACACGGATGGGAACAAGAGATGCTGGGGACTTCTAAAGGGGAGATGGAGGGATGGGGGGACGGGTTGAAAAACTCCCCACTGAGTACTGTGTCCACCACCTGGGAGATGGGTTCAACGAAGCCACACCACACCATTTCACAATATAGCTATGCAACAAACCTGCATGTGCATCCCTTGAATCTAAAAGAAATAAAGCAGACTGATCAAACACCTTAGGGTATGTTTAGCCAATTTTTTTAAAAAAGGATGCTGCCTTTAACAGTGTCAGCTAAGCTTTTGACATGGAAAGCCATTCCCCATACAATGTTGTCTAAAAACAGCCTGCTACAAAACAGCACAGCCTCACATCAGGGGAAGCATAGAAATATAAAATACATAAATATCTCTATAAATAACTTTAAAATCCTGGAATTATTTTTCCTGAAATAATAATAGCAACTATCTGTCATCTCAATACTGGGGTTAAAGGCTTTGTGTTGCTTTTGATTCATCTATATTTTCCAACTTTTCTCCAATATTATAATGTATATGTATTAGTCATATAATAAAAACTTTTCAGCACACAACACGGGCCCCATCTGGACAGCTGAGGGATCTCATAAATGCTGGTTTAATGATCTCGTTTGCTGACTGAGTACCATGTCCCAGGCACACGTCCTATCATTTAGTCCTTTCCATGACCCTTGGAGGGATGCATGGTTTCCCACTTTATAGAAAAGCAAACTGAGGGTCAGAAGGGATGTAACTTGCTCAAGGTCACTGACGCAGACCACAATTTGAACTCAGACTATCTGGCAGAGAATGCGTAGTTCTGGGGTGTGTGTGTGTTAGTTACTGTCATCCCACACTGCCTCACTTTGTGATCACAGAAAGTTCCAAGCCTAATGCAAAACATACACCTATCTGATGAGAACATAATGATCAGAAATTACAGCTATACACGTGCCCCTAAAAGCCACTATTAAGGATGAGTTACCTTAAAAGCACTGTGGTGGGAGAAAGAGGCCATCACCAAGGCCACACGTTATATGATCCTATTTACGTGGGATGTTCAGATAGACAAACCCACAGGGACAGAAAGCAGACCAGTGGGGGCTGGGGAGGGGTGGGGCGAGAGAGCGGGGAGTCACCACAAGCAGGTACCTGGTTTCTTTCTGGGCAGGAGGATAAAAGTGTCTTAAAATTAGAGTGTTTTCATGGTTGCACAGCCCTGTGATTATACTAAGAACTATGGGGTACTCTAAATGGGTGAGTTTCATGATGTGTAAATTACACCTTAACAGAGTCATTTTTTAAAAAGGGTCGCATGCATAATCACAACCACCACAAGGACAGACATGGACCAAGCAGCTGTGTTCTGGGCTCTGAACACAGAGCCCAGAACAGTCAGTCCTGTCGGGTGGGTACAATGCTATCCCTGTTCTTGAGAAGGGAACGCCAAGGCTTGCCCAAGGCCCCACAGCTGGAAAGAGGTACATAATTAATCTAGACCAGGCTTCTCTAGTGAAGAGTTTCCAGTTATTAATAACTGTATCCAGAATGCACTCACACAGGTGCGTGCGTCCTCTGTCCTGCCTGATCAAAAGCACAGGA